CGATGGCGTTGGTATTTAGGGCCTTGAGGTCGTTTTCGGACTTGCCCATTTCGTGCATGATGGCTTTTGCCTGATAGAGGCCTTGGTCTTCCTTGTCGAATTGGACGAAAATTCTGATCTCAAACGCTTGATGGAGTTCAACCATTTTTTCTTGTTCTTTCCGAATGCTTTCGCGATTCGAAGACCTTGTCCCCGTCTCGTCCTCACCTTCTCGTTCTCCAACTTTTCCTTGACATAGCTTGGAATATCTTCTCGGCGTTGGAGTTTGTTCTTCCTCTTGCTCACGTCTCGTTGGGTGTCCGTTGGATTGTCCTCCACGTTGTTGGCGATCAGTGCAAACTAGCCCCTCTTCTTGCTTCCATCGTATAGTCCTCTTGCCCCGAACAAAAGGTCTTCAAATGGTGGCCATGGAGGAAAGGTGGGCTGTAGTTCAGGGTCGTCCGCTGGAGCCTTCGTGTCCTCGGGCACCTCTATAGTTCCCAAGTTTCTTTTGCATTCAACCTCCTGGTGATCAACCTCGCTAGCCCGCTTCCGAATCCAGGCCCCTCCATGATTCTCTCAGCGGCGGGGATCTCGAAGCCATCCTGTTGTTGTCTTCCAAAGTCTGGGCTCTTTCCATCCTGCACAGTGTGACGCCAGCTTCCCCAATTGGTGAAAGAGGAGATAGTTCCCAGGCGGGTGGAGGGGAGTCCCACCTTGTAGTTGCTGGTGTGTTGAGCGCTCGTGCCCTGGATGAAGCCAGCGAGTCCTACGTTCTGAGGGTCTCCAACGGCCCCCGTCACGGCCGTCCAAATCGGGGCACCAACCCTGAAGTGCTGCACGACATCCTGAAGGCCCTCCATTGCCATCGCCACGGCTTCGGAGGGCAACATGGAAACAGCACGCGAGGAAAAACAACCCCCCCAAGGATTTAACATCCTCCAAAATGGCCAGGCAGCCACCATCCCCCCTAGGCTCGAATTGTTGTCCTACACAAAACACTTCGTTCTTTGTTACACTTTACCGCAATACGCTCAAGTAGGAAGTATCTCCAGCAGTACGTCTTCTCTATTGAAACAAGCTGAATCGTTTGTCACAGATACTAGAGAATGTTGATGATGAAAACAGGTGCGGTGAGCTTTCAAGAGAAAAGCCTGTAAATATCATAAAGAGTGTAGCCTTTGTGCTTGCTGCCTTTCCGAACACAACGAGAATGGAAAGAACACCCTGTCAAAACAAGCGCCGCAATAGCCCTTCGGCCTAGCGTGGTGGATTCCTGGTGGCTTCAGTTCATCTCTCAAGAAGAAGCCAGTAGGAACAAAGGGCATCGCTACTAGGAGCAAGAAGCTACTAGTAGCTCCTGGCCTTACTACTAGTAACTCTCTCTCTCTCTCTCGTTCTTTTCTTGCTCGTTGCCAAGATGCCTGACTCTCCGGTTGTGACGGAACACTGGCCACTGGACGACCTAGCAAGGCTCAAGGTCAAATCACAATGACCAAGTGTTTGGACTGAGGAAAACGCTATTTGCTTCAGATTCTGCAGTACCTTCAACCAAAGCTCTGAATTACTGGCATCACTGAAGGCAATTGAAGCAAAGAGCTCCTTCACCAATGATTTGAAATGTCTCCTATCGTTTCCCTGCCTTCCCGCTTCGGGCTTCGGCTACGGCCTGCCAGGAAAATAACTGAATGGACAGGAACAAGGAAAGCTCTACACCCGAAGGTTCTGCAAAACCTCTGGCAGAATTGTGGAGTCAAGTTGTCAAGGGCAGTGAAGTGATTGGATTCAGCCTGGTGCGGGGCGCTCGGGAACGCCTCTTGCAAATCCCAGCCGCCTGACAAAGCCACGTCATGTATGATATAAGAGGGTCTTGCCTTACCTTCCTTTCTTCATCTCTCAATTCTAATTGAATTCTACTAGCGATGGCCTCCACCCTAGTAGCGATGGCCTTCAACCTATCTTGTCTTTTAGTTTTATTCATTCTGTTCTATGTACACCACATATTGCTGCTCGCCCCTTGCCTGTCATTGCTCCGGGGGTGTTCGGCTTGTCTGACTCGTCGTCTGGAGCTGCTCCGGTCTCGGCGCTCCGCTCCACTCCGGTCGCTGTGCCCTCGACGTCGGTCGCTGCTCCGCTCGCGGCTCCGGCGCTCGCGCCGGTCGCGGTCCCGGCGCTCGCGCGACCGGCGGTCGTCGGTCCGGTCGCGGCGCGGGGCCCGGTCGGCCCGGTCGGCCCGGTCGGCCCGGTCGGCCCGGTCGTCGGTGGGTCGTGGGTGTCGTCGATCCCGGTCCTCACGCTTCTCGTCCCGAGTGGATCGATCTCGGCGCCAGTCGTAGCGATCCCGTCGCGGGGACGCCGAACGCTCGACTTCTCGTCGTCTCACAGGACTTCGCGAGCGTTGACTTGGTCTCGAATCGGAGAGAAGTGAAACCAAATCGTTCACTTTCGCTTGAAGCTCCTCCATGACATACCATGAGGCAGAGGAAAACACGGGAGGCTTTGATAAACCTGACGTGCTGAGGACCTGCGTAGTAGTCTTCAACAAAAGCTTTTCAACTGAGTCTCTTGTTAAAGCGGTAATTAGCTGCGGAGGTGGAAAGTGTCTGTGGATGACCTTTAACATCAGCTAAGGCCAAAATACCTCACAGCACGACACGTTTGTCTGCGGAGGTCACAGTCATCTGTGCCAAGACATTTCAAGTTCGCTGGAATCAGAAAAAAAGCTCAGCATCTTTTTGTTTCAATCGTATCGGCCTTGCTGGAAGAGTCACCTATGATCGACTGGGAACGCAGCAAGTGGCCAACACGTCAAACAGTTGCATTCTGCAAGAGGAACAGGAAAGGTGTCTACTTCCCACAGTTGAAAGAACAAACGCCCAAATATATATAAATCTGCAGAATAACTCTTTGCAACGACACCAAAGAAGCAATACCAAGCCTGGATCTAAGCTTTCGCTTGACCTAAACGGGCAAAGCTGTGCAAAGTTGCCTTCTCAGAAGATGGAATTGCACTTATTGGGGCAATCGAAAATGCTCTCAAAGAAGAGGTTACAACAGCGAGAATGAAGAAGGTCAGTTGAAAGCCACAACACGGCTGACCTTTTGGCTCTCGCACCTGGAAAGTGCATTTGGCCCAAGCGTGAACACGTGTAAATTCCATAGGCCTGAAGAAGCAACGGCCCCAAAAGCTGGAGTAGGACAAATTAAAAGCTTAGAAAGACATAGCGAGTTGGGGTGCACCAATACAGGTTTCAATCTGTGTACTTTCTTCTCGGGCACCTCGTCCTCGTACCGCTCAGCCTCAAAAGCAAAGTGCGTGAAAAGCAACAACATGAGCTATCCTAGTAGTCAATAGGTATTCGATAGGGCTCTTGAAACACTTTTGGCATAGCTGAGCCACAGAAAGAGGAGGCTGTACCATGACTGCAAGTCGAGCACCAGGGAATGAGGCCAACTTTCGGGCCTTGCCGGAATACCAGACTCTAAGAAGGAAAAGAGCTGGAAAGAAGTGCAGAAAGCAAAAAGAATAGTCATTGGGAAAAAACTTTGTGACTTTATGTAGAATCAAATGAGAAATCAACATGTTCGGTGTTGGACTCTAGGTCGCAGCTCCTTTACTTAAGGTATGGACCATGGCAAGGGCGGTCGCCTTGGTAGTCCTGTTGAGCATGTTCAAATCTTGCTTCGTTTCTTGTGACGCTTGCCATGATCCTTGCCTGATATCAGAAGCAATGCGACTGACCATCCCAGCCTATGAGGCCGAAGCCCATGATGTCAGTGATGATTGTTGCTTTCTGTGCTTCAACACCGTCAGGCAGCATGCGCCTTCTGTACAGCATTGGCACTGAAGGTAGAGTCTGTGAGGTATATGTCAATCCTGGCAGCACAAAAGGCCTTTTTCTCTGTCACAAACCCAAGACACGGCAGCAGGACCCAATGATAAGTTTGCCTTGGGCTCCGAGCGCAGCCGTGAGGCCAACATGCTGTGGAAGGTGCTTGGAAAGCATCATGATTGGGCAAGCACCTGCGATGCAAAACGGGCGATGCAAAACTCACCAGCACCAAGGTGACAGCAGACCTCTGCTGAGGTTTCCAAAGGCTGCTGAGCCGTTCTGAGCAATCACCCTCTCTGTCCCATTGAGAGACCTTTCTCAGGCAGAAACAATACATCGCTACTAGTAGCTTCTTGTTACTAGTAGTATGGCCTCCACCTAATAGCTTCTAGTTTGTTAAAGCAAAATACAAGCAGTTCAACATACCCGGATGATATGACGAAGACACAAACACTTCTGCTTCAAGGAGCACTGCAACACCTCCACCAATCGCATTGCCGGTGATGGCAACTACCGTGGGAATGCAAAGCTCCTGGTGTGAAGCATCCACTGTGGGTCTTGAACACCTTCATTCTGCGGTCATTGATTCTGCAGTCTTTTCAGATGCCTTCATTCTGAGGGCAAATAGAGAATTCGCTGCCACTGAAGCCATCTGAAAAGGTGTAGCTCCAGCTGGAGCCACTGGATGGTGGTTGCCTTGAAGCAGAAAAGTGGTGACATTCCTTGAAACCCAAAGGACTGGGTGAGAAAAGGGCACAACCACCGTGCAAGCGCCTCCAGGGCAGAGATGAGGACCTGCTCCCTGAAGAACAGCGGCCAAAGGCGTGTGGCTCCTGGGATTTCTTGCGGAAACCTTCGGAGAAAGCTGCGCATGAACTGTGCAATGTTTGTCTCTCTGCCAAAATTGAAGGTAGCAATGTCAAACAATGTATATAGTTTATTTATTGTTTTGTTGACATGATTTCATAAGTCTGTGTTTTGCTCCTGGAAGTACTTCTTGTCAAGTGCATGTGATATGCATCCATCATCATCATGAAATCGGTGCCTTGAAAAATGAATTGTCAAAAATAGAAAACCCAAATTCAAAAGAGCTATATATATATATACAGAGAGAGAGAGAGAAGAGTTGGAGACAACAGTCCAAAAGCCGAAAGAACAGTTAGATCCAACTGACGGAGAGCAAAGTCCTTTTTAGCTCCCACCTTTACCAAATAACCTCTAAGAGGGTCAGGATGTCTGGGGGTGCTGCATTCAATAGCGGAGTTGAACTTTACCAGCTTTGCAAACAGCAAACTCGCAAAGCTTTGCTTTGCGGCTAAACTCTCAAAACCATAGCTCTGCTTAGCTCTGCTTTCAGCACAGCTTTACTGATGAGCCCCTCAGTCCATGCCGGTCAGCCCGGTCAGAGAGTTCGGATCCACGGTCCTAAGCAGGCACGGTCCTAAAAAGAAAAAAACAAATAGATAAAGGCTCTAGCGCAAAAAGATAAAGGCTCTACGGCTCTACCAGCAGACTCTACCAAGACCATTGTGAGGAAAGACCCCAATCCGCCTACTTGCTTCACTGAATGCTGCCAGAGTGCAACTGCAAGCAAATGGCACTGGTTGTCATCAAGACTCTGAACACGAAAAGCAGAGTAGGGAGGAAACAATGTTTCGCTCTCTTTGTCTTTGGACGAGATGTTTTGAATATCGCGTGCCCCCCAAAATCCACGAGGTATGTCAATAACCCACAAGTAGCCACGTCCATCTTCTCTTCTTCGATATTTCTCTGCCAATGCATGATCCTTTGTGGTGGATTGAAATTGTCGGAAGCGAACGATTCGTTCCAAGCGAAGTGCTTCGCGGAGTTTCTGCATATTCAAAGGAACTGGTCTTTGTGTATCTCCTTTCCACACTCTCCCACCTGCATGCAAAATCCTGGATCCATCAGTAGGGCTGTAAAGTAAACAATAGATCATTCTTTGAATGAGAACTATCGCATTTGATAGGTTGTGCGATGCATCGCAGTTCAATGTATTGTTGAGTGCCCGGTAGTAGAGCGAGTAGTCTAGGCCGGTGACCAAGCTGATTCTGCGCCCCAGCTTTTGGTGCGTTGTGTACAAATAGAGAGAGCCATCTTCGTGCTCATCAAACTGTTTCAGTACTGAGTTCAAAGCATCTGAGGTAACCTCAAATGGTTCACCATCTGCGTCCTCAAGCTCTTGAAGCCATTTTCTTAAGCTAATCTTGGCATCCTCTTTGGACACAAAATTGACATCTCCAACACCCTTGCTGCAAGGATAGAGCGAGGAAAAATGGGATGACAAGAAACCATGGGTTGTGCAAAGCGCCGAATACTCCTTGTCATTCACAGGTGCGAGAAATGCTGACCAGCAACGGAAGGATTCAGAGTTGTCAGCTAAAGTCACGAGCATCCCCTCAAAGCCCCGGCGCAAACCATTTTGCCCCTCACTAGAGCACTCGTTCACCTCCTGCACAATGCCCCGTCGTTGCCAATTGGCACCTCGCTGAAAGCATACGACCTTTTCACCTTCTTCTGGAGGATTCTCTGGAGAATAGAAGCCCGCACGCTTTGCTTGGGTAATCGAAAAGGGACCCGCAAATGCGACATTTCCGAAGTATGGCAGCTCGGCACTGGTCCACTCCAGGTCCTCCAAAGCTGCACATGCAGCTGCCAATACCTCTTGCGGAGACCCTCGTCCATCTATTCTAGAAGTCTTGCCCTCAAAGGACGGCAAGATTGATTGAACATGTTGATTGTAAGTTTCAATCCGTTGCTTCACGGATTCTTCTTGATCATCGCTTCTTTGTACAAGTCGGAAAGCAATCTCCTCTGGTGGCGGCCGGAATTTCAAGTGATAGATTCGTCCAGTGAGGGGATCCAACCGACGCAGCGTGGAGCGAACGACCAGATCCTCTTCAGGAACGTCCATGAACAGCAGCTTCTCAACGCGAAAATGCCTCGTCAGTGCTGCTGCCTGCTCTGCAGTGAGTGGAAAATTGTCCAAGAGGCAACCCCGATTCAGCACATCTGGCCTGCACAAGCGTTCCTGGACAATCTCCATCACTAGCTCATGAGGAACCAGCATGCCTTTTGTCATGTACTGCTTCACCTGAGGCCAAAAACCAAGCTGCTTCGCCAGCTTATAGGAATGGGAAACAAAAAGACACCATTTTGGAAACACTCGTGACAACAAGGGTTTGTTGGCGTTTGGAAGCCCGCTTTGCCTGCAGACCCAATTCACTTTCTTTGCTCACTTCGTCTCTCAAGATCTGCCCCGGTGAGATGTGCACAAGGCCATATCGCTTTTTTAAGCCATCGCACACCGTACCCTTCCTTGGGATCAGCTTGTAAGAACATTTATATATATATATACATTCATGCAAGTGGACATTTCTTCTCATCAAGAAAATGTTCATCCGCAGATGTCACAAGAAGTGCATCCAAGCTTCCCAGCAGCTGGAGGACCAGCCACAAGGATGACGTGCCAAGGTTGAACCATTTTGGAACAACCAGGGACAACGCGCTTACATGATAACAGCTGGCCCATTCCGGACCTGCAGTTCTGTGAAAATGTGCAAACATGCAATCCTTAGCTGAAATCAATGCATTGGAGAATGACCTTCAGCAAAGCCAAACCAGTTTGACGAACTACCTTGCTAGAAGCAACAGCCAGCAAAGTACGCATCTGTTGCGGCCTTTGCACATTATACGTTGGCAAAATGTCTGCATGCAAATCTATATACAGCATGTTTGTATATATCGTGGTCACTACCATTGTTGTTGCCTACACAGTTGGCCCTCTGTAGATATTCACTTGGTCCGCAGCTGCAGCAAGTCACACAAACAAAACATGCACGGTGAAGACCTAAGCAGCCACACTGTTCAAGGCCCTAAGGGGCTGGCAGAGCACTGGGTCAAGCATGTTGAAAGTGTGCTTGCTGTTCAGCTCCTGTGAAATGTTCCCAAACGAAAAAAAGGCATGGCGTTCAATCCTCAAGAACTTCTGTCCAGCAACATCACAGGTGGTGAAGTCGGAGAGAGAAGGGCACGGCATTTTGTCTCCTGAGACGGGCACGACATGTTGACACTCGGCATGAACAAAACACATTTATGGACCAAGCAGTAAGCCTCCACTTCAGAAAAGCCTTCCAGGCCGAAATTAGACTGCCACGAATGGGCCATGCCCCACCAGTATGCCTGACAGTTCATGCGTTTCAAGCTTGCAAAGTGCCAGAACAATTTCCAAAAAATCTAACGGCCGCACTCTTGTGTAAGAACCAACGTCGTTGACATCTGTCATCCTGCGACAGACACACGTACATGTTGAAGTCCCTTGCCCATACTGACTGTGGTTCTAGCTGTCCTATGATATTGGCTTGGCAAAAGACCAGTCCCAATCAGAAGCCTCACCAGCTGATTGTTGGGAAAATCATGTTTATCTGCAGCAGTACATCAAAATGATGCCTCTTCCGACTTCCATTGTCCTTGAGATCCTTGTGGCTCTCCTGCCTGCAAAAATATTTTGCGTTCTAGCTGTTTCAATTGTGAATTGAATTGATGCCAGGTGTGCTCAAGCTGGTCATTCGCATCCGCAATCTGGCGTCTCCGAGCATCAATTTCCTTAGCATCAGAAAAGTCACTGTAGAAAGGTAGAGCCAATGCTTTGCCAAGGCTCCGCTCTGATCAAATACTCATAATTCTGGAAAGGGGCACCCTGCATGCAAGTCAAACGAAGGAACTAGGGATCGAAACAACCAGCAGAGCATCTGTAACGATTTCAAAGCTTTCATCCCAATGCAAGCAATGCGTGCCAACCGTTTGAATCATTTTTGGGACTCACACCTTCCCAGCAACCATGGCCACTTCCAACGTAAGGTGTTTTAGCTGGTTAATACTCAATGTATGGAAAAAAAAATTGGTTTTGCCATGAATGTGTGTCTGTTCATCATTAACTTGCACAAGAGTTTGCATATTTGAGCCATGGTGAGACTGCAGTGGCAAATTAAAGAAGGCATCAATGTTTCTGTATGTTTTGGTGAAGTTGTGGTTTTGGAGAAGCCGAAACATGTGGATGTGATGTTAACCAGTGGCACACGTCCTTTTGTCACATGTTCATGCCCACTTGCAAGTCTTCTTGGTCACACTAATTACACCAGGCTAAGTAAATGGCACAAGCAAGACCAAACCAGTTGAGGAAAAAAAACATCAGTGGGAAAGCGCGTTGTGCCAAAAAACATAGTGTGTGTGGTACCAATTGCACCAAAAAACTTTTTAGCCGCTCAACGTAGGGCACGCAGTATGTACAACTGATGGAAGTGTGTTCCTGCAAACCTTTTGGGGCAAAGAGGGCCGCCGAAATGCAAGTCATCAGCAAACATCGGATTGGCACTGGCTCCATGCACTGCTTCGGCCCCCGTCTCTTCTTCCCGCCAGCGGCACGGTCAAACCAAAAACAGGCACAAAGTGTGCAACTGGCTTCATGTGCATGTGTCTTTTCCCATTCGCCATGGTCGACGTGGTCTGGAACACATGCGCCACGTGTCTACGTGTCTTTGAACACAAAACAAGACCCGATGCATGCCTGTTGAAACATGGGCAGCTTGAACATGTGACCTCTCCCACCCACCTTGCATCGCACTTTGCATGTGGTTGCCAAATCCCACTCCTTTGGATGGGCAAACAGCCTACAGCATGATGCAACCACAAGCTACAGCACCTAGGTTTTGGAAAGGTGTCCTTTGGAAACACGAACGGCACCATTGAACAGTGGGCCACCGGGCCACGACTGCGGGATTCGAAGTGGTGAGTCTAAAAGAGGCATCGGACCTGCAGCGTATTGGCTATCGCATCTTCGCAATCGGGCATCTTCCGGGCTCAAAAGCCGACTTCTACTCCTGCCATACGAGGCCTGCTTCATCATAACAAGGCTTGCCTTGCCATGCGCAGATGGCCGACAAGGCTTGAATAAATGAAGGTTGATTGCCATGATCTGCTTAAGTCAATGTCTTCGTGGACCTTCACTCTGCAAAGTATATGATTTCATTTGCTTGAATCTTCCCCGCATGTTCACACTAATTTGTCTAGGCCATCCAAATTCGACGTGTGTTCAATGAAGCATGCACTGCCAAAACTACATATTATAGAATATTAGACCCCTGTACCAAACCATTTCCTCCACCGACCCACTCATTTTACGGAAAACACCCTCTTGACTCGTCTCGGTTGCACGGCGGCCCAAGCGGCAGGTCTCATGGGAGATCCCAAACTTCAGCAGATCCTGTTCGAAGATCTCCTTGGCCTTGGCGTAGACGGGACGATCCAGCTCGTCCACCCAGCCATTGAGGATCCTCGCAGCGAACGCATGACATGCATCACATGCGGAGCCGAACGCGCCACGTTCAAAGCCCAACTTGGGTGGTGTTTCGAAAGACCAAGCTGCGGCAAGAATATGGTCACTCTGAAAAAATGAAAACGCAAACTTGGGCGGGCTCACAAATCCGAAAAGTGAGCACACTGTAAAGAAAAAGGTTATATGTGATGGTTTTTCCGCCCGGCAAAATCCGACCTGTTTCGAACCGAACACTTCGCCAAGCCGGCTGGGCCGGATGTTTTCGAAGTCGACAGGGAGGCAGGGGCCACCGAACTTGGCGTGGAACAAACACACGGACAGTTCCTCGGCATCGCTACTAGGGGCTCCTGGCCTTACTACTAGGAGCAAGAAGCTGCTAGGAGCAAAGGGCATCGCTACTGGTAACAAGGAGCTATAAGGGGCTCCTGGCATCGCTACTAGGAGCAAGGACGCTACTAGGGGCTCCTGTTCCTCGGCGGAACTGCGGATTTGAAAACGGAGTGGTCCACAGCACCGGTCCAAGTAGCCTGTAAGATGTTTCTGCTGCTGTTGCTTTGGGGGATGGCAAAGAACCACACCAAGGGAATGTTGGTTGAGGAAAGGAGGTATGTAAAACCCGCACAACCCAGTGGTTTTGGGGTACCTCAACCATCGGTAAACCTTTGAGCTCGACTCTGAGATCGTTTCAGCAGTCTTTGAGACCACAGATTTATTCCAAAGAAAGTCTGCAAATGATCAGGTGAAAAGAACTAGCACAGTTCACTTGCGAAATGGCTTGAGACGCTCCGCGCAGCCCAGGCACCTAAACAGCATTGTGATTGGCATTGCAAATACCTATATTATCTTATTGAACCCTAGGCCGAATACCTGCTATCCCGCTATCCCCATTTCCTTAAACATGGTCTTGGCAACAAGGCCTTCAGCCTTCATACAATCAACCTGGTGAATATGTCCCTTCAAAAGAAATAGACCTCTGCAATCTATTTCGATCTCTGCTCTCCAAGACTCCCATTCTTCTTGCAGGCCCACGAAAGCAAAGCCATGTTCCAGCCGTTCAATGGCCTTCGGCACATCTGCTGCAGTTAAATCCAGCTTTCCCACCAGCTGCCCTGTCTCATACCTTGCCCATTTTTGGATGAAGACCTGACAGTGTTTCACCCGCCCAGCATTTTTTCCAGTGCGCGACTCTTTAAGCTGCCCTGCAGAAAAACCAAGCAGTCTGAAAAGCTGTGGGAGCTAGAAAAAGCGTTCTCGGTGTCAAAGCTGAAGAACAACCCAGGCTACGCACCGCTCTATGCACCCCTCCAGATGCTCTAGACTCGCTCCGCTCCACTCTCTACGTGTTCCGAAACAACGACCGCCTCCATGGGCATTTCCTGGGTCATCGTCTCAGTCGAGCACACGGGGATGTAATCCGGAAAGGCCCGAAACAGGTCGTCGTCGTCATAGTAGGCCGAGAGCAAGCGCTGCTCTGGTTGACGAAAGAGCCCAACCAAGTGGCCTTTGTGTTTCTCATACATCCAGTCCACCAAAACTGATGAGCGATCTCCGGTGGCCAGGTGCAATGGAGGAGGTTCCTGTCGCACATTACTGGGCAGCTGGCACGAAAACCCGCCTCAAAGCACGTCCCAAAGACGGACTTGTTGCCGATGCTGAGATTCATTGGAAGGCTTGGACACATGCGTGGCAGGTGCGTCACCACGTTGTAGAAACTTGCACCGCACTTTGGGATGTGGAGTCAAAACATGGGCGAAGATTTCAACCTGGAGCTCATTGGCCGTAAAAACAGCGGAGGGATTGGAGCTACAAAGGTGGAACTAACATGCAGTCTAATGACAGAGACAAAGAACTGCTGAACATTCGTCGTTGCACGCAGGTGCAGTAAGCTGATCCGGCTTCGCTTGAACGCACAAGTACGAGGGTCTAGTGAGACACATCCAAAAGAAGGCATGCGCATAGTAGCACAAAACAAACACAAGTGCGCGTGTACAAACCCACTATAGACTCTAGACCGACCAGTGTCGGGATTTTGCGGTCCGAGGTGCCGTCGAAGCTCCGGGGTCTCTACCTCCAAACTCCTTTGCAAAAGGTCCGTTGATTGGCAGTCCTCCAATTCTTCGGCCAGGGAGAATGAAATGAGCGCCTCAGCTTTGCCGAATCGGACCATCTGGACACAGCTAGGCTAGGCCCAAAACCAGTGTGGAATATCCGCTGCTTGTTGTTTATGGATGGAAAGAAAGTGAAGCTTCTCATCGATTACTGTACAGTAATGTGAAAAGCTGCTGGAAGAAGACATAAAAGAAAAAGGAAAGCTGATTGTTTGTGCACAGCAACAATGAAAAGCACGTCATGGGCTTTCATTCTTTCAAATTCCACCAGGAGGCGCAGTACGGTATCATTCGCAGAGCCGACATGGCTGCAGCATCGTTTTCACGAAGCATTTCTGGCATTCCCTGACTAACTCGTACATTGAAGCTGAAACCGTGGCTCCAAACTCCAGCAATGCGGGAAGGCGTGTTCCGCAGTGAGTTTCTGAAAACTTCAGGTTTACCAAAGAACTGTAGTTTCAATTGGATTCCCTTGTCTTCTACACGGTATTCCAGCCCAGTGCGTCTCATCTACTTTGCCCTCACCACATCGCGCCACATCACCCTTCTTTTGGGCTACAAGCCTTCGAACAAAGCCTCCAAGGGCTCTTCCACCTCTTCCACCTCTTCAGTCCTCACCTCCCCACTCCCGCCCGCACCGTTCGCGGCCGGATCGGCCACGTGCCAGTCGGCGGCCGCGTCGGCGGCGCGCGGGGTGCCCGGTGGGGAGATGCAAATCCAATGGCCATCGTCTCCAGCCTCATTCAGCGGCACATCCACCTGTCGAGCTGAGGCGGAGACCGATCTCATCCTTCATGTTCCCTTTTTTCGGCTCCAGAAGATGGGTGTGTTTTGGGACAGGTGTGTTTAGAAATTACCCATATATATATACAAATATATAGTCCAGAGTCTAGATCTCCTCAAAAGGGAAAATAGACCAAAGCCCAGATTAATTCATTCTTTCACTGTTGAAGAACTTGCAGCTCGACTGGAAGGCATCTTCCACCTCTGCTCTTTGGCTGGTCTTCATTGTTCAATGGTTTTTCCTCTTCTTTTTTGACGCCTCCGATCCCACCTCGACCTGCAAGAACTTCCCCACTGCATCAATCAAATACGGGTTTCCACACGCCAAGGCAGTGATGGAACGCAGGTGTTCGACCGCCGTGTTCAGCTTCCACCCACATTCGCTACACATCCAAACTAAGATTGCTGCTGCACTGCGGTTCTTACCTTACAGTGTTTGCTTTGCGGAGGTCTATAGCTTCCAGATCTATCAATTGAATCTTGAAGTCTTCTGCGCTCTAAAAATGAACAAATTGGACAAACACAACAAACAAAACAACAAACATTAAGAAACACATGCAAAAAAGAACCACGCACGCAGGAACACAAATGTCTGGTCATAATTGGGGTCCCGTCGACCCATTTGGCAGCTCACATTGACGCGAGCACCTTCGTCGCGCAAACTTCGAAGGATCTGGAGTGCTTCACCCAGTTGTTCAGCCCATTCATCAACACAACCCTCATTCACCTCCTGGAAAACAACGACGTGTTTTGACATGACAGAGAAACACGATAGAAACAACCATGCATAGCTGGCCAACCAGTGAACATGCAGCCGAACATGCAATACGATCACATGTTATGCATAATGCACGACATTATGTGATGTCATATGCGCTATGACGATGACAGAGAGCATGCATTCCGCAACGACTTGGCCTGAAAAATCCCCGGATCAATCCCTAAACCAAGGGAGGGTTGTCTCAACTTGACCCTCCGCCTTCCTACGAACGAATCGTTTTGGTTTGGACTGAACGACTCCATTTACTGCCTCTGACGGGGCGACATGCACGAAAACTTCGCCCGCCTTCGGCGATCGATTGGATCCAATTGTGGAAGCCTCCGAGTTGAAACGATCCCAAATCCTGTAACCTTCCCAGTCTTTCACCAAAAGGGTCCCTCAAAAAGCCGACATAAACAGCCTAGGTTTTGCAAGAATAAGAAATACAGTAAAGGACTCCAAAAAGGGGCGCGTCTTCTTCCACCCATCCTTCTCGTTACTGAAGGCATCTCGCATGGGCACATGAAGGATGCGCGGCTCCGAATCCGCTGCCGGAAACTTCCGCACCACTTCTGCCGCCATGTTCAGGCGATGGGTGATGCCCAGCTCCAGCAACTCATAGGGCCTTTGGGTGAGGGATTTTGCCGTTGACACGCCCGCTCGAAAAGATCTGAAAGCCACCAACTCCAGAGTGGTTAACCTCAATACAAAGAACTTTCAGGTGTTAATTCAAGAGTTCCACTTTTTGTTTGGGGTCGTTTGAGGCCCTCCGCCGTTTTGGAACCGTTTTGGAGTCGTGCCTCGCCTGGAAGCGGTCTGGAAATCACTCCACCAAAGACCCAGCGTGCCGGGCCTTCCGCCGTCCAGCACGCAGCGGGGCCCCAAGGGCGCGCCATCACCACTGGCGGCACCACGAAGCGTTCCACCCGCTTTGGGAGGAGGAATCTTCAGCAACTGATCAGCAGCTCTCAGGACGGCCGCGGTGAAGATGTAGCCTCAAAACACACACGGACGGACGTCAAGTGCTTTTTCGGGTTGGGGATGTTTGTCAACTTCCAAGGTTAGCAGATATTAAGAGCACGTACAATCAATGCATGTGATTCACGGAAACTATCAAACTATAGAAACTAATTGATTCGTGTCCTTCCAAACTGCACCAAGTCGCCCTTCTGGGCATCACTTCGCACCTCCTCGCACGTCGTCCCCGCAGCCACGATCCGCTGTCGGAGCTCCGCCCGCGCGGCGCCGGCGTCGTCCTCTGCGCGGCGGCGCTCTGCGTCGCTGAGCCCGTCCCACCAGGCCTGCGCCACCTCCATGGGTGGCGCGGCGGCGCGAAAGCGCGCCAGCCACGAGGACATGCCAAGAAGGGAAGGAAATGGAAGGAAGATCTTTGCAGAAAGGTCTTGAAAAAGAGGAACAGGTATATAAAAGGTATGTTGCCTTATCATGACTGAACGTCAGCTACAGAACTAAACCCTGTTACTATCACCAAAGTCTGTTTCTATTTATTTATACAGCTGTCAGCCCAAAAGAAATCGTGGAGACAAGAA